GATATGATATTTGTAAAAATTTTTGCCAACATATGCATTTTCCGTAAGAAAGTTGAATTTATTGACTTAGGCTACACATCATACTTTCTCCACAATAATAATATTTTCATCTTCCGAATAGTTCGTTTTAAATTTATAATATTTAGCTATCAGTTTATTGGTTTTTTTTGAAGAGCGCTCATCATCTCGGATTTAATCGGATAAGTCTATATTTGACCTATACTTCGCGACATTAGACAGCGATGAAAATACAAATTGGTCGTCGGAACCACTTGGATTTTTAAATGACAGGTTTACTCTTACTGGGAGTGGTACTCCGGTATCAATCTTCCAGATCCATATATTTTATCAATATCACATGTTGTCCACAAATGAAACCAATGAAACTAATTTATAGGATGATATTTTTATTTATAAAAATAAGAAACTTACATTTTAAATAAATTTTTCTCATCTCAAGCATATGATACGATTTTACAAGAAATCGAGAAATATAATATTAACATCGAAGACCTTGCTTTCTACGTTCCGAACAAATTTCCCTTAGCTCTACTTGTAACTTCGTAATTTTTTCTTTGGTCTTTGCTAAAACGACCTTAAATCCATTGGCATTTAAACATTCACGTTGCATCGATATCATTCCACTGATCCAGGTATAGCAAGTAGTAACTTGACCAACCTGCAAATATAATATATCGTGTTAAATACTATTTATCTGATCATAGAGGTATGAATTTGTACTATTATAATAATATACTTGCAGAATGGTAAACCTTCATTCCACAGTCTAGGATTAGGTCCATGCAACGTGGATTTCGGTCAACAGATGGACCAATTGTTAAATTGTTCGCATTCGACTCTCTTTGTGGATCACTGCTTGATAAATTAAAATCGGGATCATCACCGGAAGAGTTGGATATTGAGTTATTCAATAGTTCTTTCGTAACATTGGTACCCATTTTCTTCGTTTGTGATTCGTTAATAGATGAGGAAAAATCGCCATCGAAATAATAGGTTAATTTGTCGGTTGATTCCTCTATCGGATCATAAATAGGATTGGTTTCCTCTGAATTGTATGAATTTCTTTTTTCCCTCTGATTTTCATCTAAACGACTGTTTTTCGTAAGAAGCAATATTGATATGCGACGGTCTTTACAGTCTTTAAATAATTATGGGTGATTTTCTATTTATTTAGTCTTCCTTTGGTTCTTCTTCAATTATTCACTTATTAGAATCACTTGAGAATGGAGATATACATCGATTAAAATGTCGAAAAGACAATTAAAATTAATAGTTTAAAAAAAAGTTTATTATTATAATTATATTTATTTATTACATTATATTATATATATTAAAGTTGTTACAATTATATTTTTAAAAATACTACAAATATTAAATATTAAAAATATATTAATTTTTATCAAAAAAATCATCACCGTTGGCTGATTCTTTCAAAAGATGGGTTTGCTGTTTGTCACAAAATTTAACTGCATCAACGCCAGCGATTTGTTCAATGAGATCATTGCTTAATTGATTTCTAATTAATTCGAATTTCCTATGTAAATTCTGAAATTCGCTAAACCTTATACGTTTTCAATTATCAATTTTTATCTTTTGATAATTATCATTACAAATTTTATAAATTATATATAATTAATTAATTGTATATAAACAAATTAATTTATTTTTATAATAATTATAATAAGAATGGTAATTATAATATAATATTATTATGATATTATAATAAATAATATCATAATAATTATTATAATAGTTCTAGTAATTCTGAATGGAATCTACTGAACTTGCTAAACCCAGAATGGCTTATTGAAAAATAAAATCCATACGATTGGTTCTTGGTTTTTCTAAAAGATTTTCTGGAAAAGTAACCAGCAAGAAACCAAACTAAAATTATTACCACTGCCGTACCTATACAATAACTATTTTATTGTTTGCATTTTTCAATGATTATTTAATTATTATTATTTTAAGTGTAAAAAAGGGAATGGAAATTTTTTTAAATGGAAAAGTTTATTTTTTAGAGAAATTTTAATGATGATTGAGATATTTGCTTATATAAAATAACATATTTTTGGTGAAATAATAATAATAATAAGAATGCATGTTATGCATGCATGGCAAGTATAATTAATTTCATTCCAATTATCGACTAAAATTTTTAAAAAATTTTTTATAGCTTTATAACTGGCAAGCTAATTCATTTAGAAAGCAGTACTGAAAAAATAATTCGGAAAACTGTGTTTTCTAAATCATAAAATGGTCCTCTGGTCTTATCCTAGTGGTCGGTATAGTTAGCCGAATTAAAAATGATAAGTGCTATTAGAACGCTATCAACTTGGTTATCTGCAAGAAATCTGAAGGAACGCAATTTGTGGATGAATTTCAGAATAAATTTTATATATATCCATATATATATATATATATATATATATATATAATATGTAATTTTATACATTTTAAGAATAAATTTTAGAGTAGAAAAAATATTATGTCGAAATTTCTGAAAGATTTTTTAATATAGATATAAATAGACAAATTTGATAGAAATTTTTGAAAAGAAATATTGAGATTTGGAAAAGTTACCGAAATTTTATTGTATGGTGCTATATAGCACCGATCGGTGTTATGCATTCGTATAACTACAACGTTCTAAAATTCATTTGCGATTTAAGAAATTTTAGAGAAATATTGCCAATTATATTGCAAAATTAGTAATAATATGAAAAGAAATTCATAAAACAACTTCTTATAAATTTGGTTTATATGGCTTTTTGAATAAATAAACTCCAAATGAATTAGGAAAACAAAGGGTGAATTCCAAATATTTATAATTTCGGCAAATACCATTATCCATTATCATTTCTTGATAAGAATACTATCAATACCATTGAAGTAATATTAGTACTATCACTGGTGTTGTTAGAGTTTGAATCTGAGTGGCTGCTAAAAGACCCATATCAACAAATCATTGTATAGTTTCACCTTACTAATCAACGCTGGGAATTTCTTATCATTTGATCAGTTTCAGATTTCTTCCCATTTTAATTTTATTTTAGGCTTATCAGCGAATATATTTCTCTATGTAAAGTTTTATCAAGGATCTATTTCAAATAGAAGAAAATCGAAGGTCCATAAATATAAGAAAGCTGCAATTCAACCTTTTCACTGATGATCATCCTCTCTGATCCATCCCAAATGATCTAAAAAAAAAAAAATCGTTGCGTAGATTAGAAATTTTTAAAATATATGGGCCGATGCTAAAGCGAGAACCTATCTACTAACACTTTGTAAGCTCGGCGAGCTGCTTGGAATGTCAGAACGCTTATGGATGTTTCAAGCGATTACTATCTACATCCTTTTTAAATACCGCGTGGATGTGGCTTCTTTGTTGGAGGTCCTCTTCTTCATGTCGGCGCCCGAGTAATTATTAAATCTGAGCAAAGACCTGAGGTTCCGAGCAAAGACATTGGCTATATTACTGCGGTGTCTCGGACAACTCGGGGCGAAATAGCGATTGTCATGTCTGAAAAAGCTCGATTCGCTCTGATTGAATGGAAGCCAATAAATGACCGTATAGCCCACGCGCGTTTGAAGGAAAAGTTCTGCAATATTCCGGTCATCAGTGTATATACTCCAATTTTTGTACAGATGACCGATAAGGACAACTTCTATGCGGAGCTTCAACTATTAACAATATCACTACCGAGAGATAACAGTCATAATCGGGGGAAACTGGAATACGTCCGTATGTCATGATGAACTTAGTAACTGGCAAATATGGCATGGAGTCCAATGCGCCAGTGGAGAACGCCTTCTTCGTTTTGCTAAAGAGCATGAAAATCTTACTAATGTTACTAATACATGTTTTCGGCATCAGAATCTAGTCATGTGGAACTCTCCAGACAACCAATACTCCAATCAGATTGGCTATATATTGGTCAGTCAACGCTGGAAGAGTTCTGTACTTGATAGTCGTTCTCTCGGGACACTTAAACCGATAACCGCTATGGATCGGATCGTGTTATAATTCGAGCTAAGATTTGTATAAAATTGATAAGTTGTGAGAAACAGCGATCTCGAAATTTTCCAATTATCTTAAATTAAAATATCAGAGAACAATACAAGCATTTCAAACCGTATTAAACCGTATTAAAGTTCTCAGTGAAATGAACGCCAATGACATCTCTGGAAGGGCGAAGGAATACTAGTCCCATCTAAAAACATGCCTATAAAAGTTACTTCCACACTAGGATAATAATAGGAAATACACTAGTTGGGTGTCCGTGGCTATTACTATCTGAAAAAACTGCCAAAGAACATCAGGAGATCGGACTATCGGGTGCTTCGAAGAATTATAATGACAGCAACACAGCGGGATAGAAATCACTATTGGAGCGATATGGCCTGAGCGAAAATGGAGACGGCAGCTCGGACAGGTGGTATTAGGAAACTGTTGGATTTCTTCGCAAAGCAACTATAACTCGGAAAGGGATCAGTAAAATGACACGAGATATTAATGGGGTGCCTTAATAGGCTGTTAAAGCTGCTAAGGATCGCTTCAGAAGATGGAAAGAATTTTTTGAGGCAAAATTAACCACGATGTGCCATCTCGTGTTTCGAATATAACTTCAAATATAACTGATTCACCCATCGAGCCTTACGTTTGCAACTTGAACTGCCAATAGAAGATGTAAAAATAATCTCTGTAATCCATCAACTTAAGACCACTAAAACTATTGGAGAAGGTGGTCTTCGGGCCAAATTTTTCAAATGTTGTCCATCATCGTTCATAACTCACCTTCAACAAATGTATTCTCTGGTTATGGCAAAAGGAAATAACACCAGAAGACTGGAGGAAAGCAATTCTCCTTCCAATTCCTAAGAAAGGTGACAGGATGTACTACCAAGGAATCAGCCTACTGGACATTTCTGGAAAAATTTTTGTTTCCTTTCTAAATAGACTCATGGCAACGACATAGCAGAATACTCGCTAATCAAGCTGGATTCAGACGCGGTTGTGCTAACCAGATATTCACATTATGCTGGGTGTTCATTGCTTCAAATATTTGTATATCTTCGATTGATAGAGCGGCTAGTGATGGCACGCGATAGTATTCTAAAGAAGATCATTCGACTCATAAAGGCATTTTATGAGCGTACGTCGGCGAAGCTCTCTGTATACGGGGAATGGGTAAAAACCTTTGAAATAAGAACTGCTATTCGTCAGAGCTGCGTCCTTTCCCCTACAGTATAATGAATAGTTATAGTTATAATGAAATGCAAATAACGTTAAACAAATGCAGCGAAAACTCAATGTAAATAAAACGAAATATTTTCGTCTTATACAAGATTCTGATAAAATAACTATTTTTATCTATTCATTGCTGGTTGAGGAAGTGCTTGACTTTAAATACGTTATATCCACTCTAATCCCAAATGGCCAAGCAGAGGATGAAATTACAACTCGGATAACAGCTAGAAATGTGTTTTTCTAGTTTTCTAGATGAAACCATTATGAAATCGTCGCAAAATGACCATGAAGACGAAAATTCGCGTCCATATAGCTGCAATTCGCTCGATCTTGCTATGAAACTTGGCTAATGAGAGTGGAAGATAAGAAAAGCTACCAACCTTTGACCACTCATGTCTAAGATACATTTTAGAATCCATCGATAAAATTGCACATGAATATATCCATTTTCGCTCAAATAACAATTGTATTAATAAATTAATGTTACCACAGAGGATCGCATTCGCTAGTTAGGGCATTTTCTGTCGTTCACCACAGGAGTAGACGCATATTTCACTACTTGTCGAGCCCTATGATGGTTAGCATCAAAAGCGAAGAAGTCCTATCAAGACCTGGTCTAATACAGTCAGAAAAGATTATTAACGTATAGGGAGACCAGCGATACATGGACTTAGACTATGGAAAAAG